CTGAAGTTATCTTATCTGATTGTGGAGAGCATCACAATAAGATAGGTAAACTAGTGGCACAAATAGATATAAATTATTTGTGTTTAATTACCATTATAGAGACGTGTTACAAGGTGACCAAGAACAGTAAATACATTTTCCAAGAAACTCAACATTTTAAACAGGCAGGCAGAATCTAAAAAGATGAGCTGTAGCCCTGATGCATAAAGGATGATATGAGGATATCAGTGAGAAAGTATATTGGCTCAGAAAATCAGAGAGTAAAATCCGTATGGATGTGAGACAGATGGTAGGCCAGTTAACACTGGTTATGCCATCAGACAGAACATTAAATAAGAAATTATTGGAACTTGTGAAAAAGATTTTAGAATAGTTGTGAGGACTTTAATCTTAACATAGACTAGGCTAATTAAATTAACAAAGATATTCTGGAAGACAAGTTCGTAGAATGATTTTGTAATAGTAGCAGTAATGGAGCTGCTAAGGATTATAGGGGATGAGGAAATGGCAAAGACAGACTTTGAATCCTGTGTGAAACTTTAGTCTACATACCTAGGGAATGCTATTTTCGCATTGGAGGCAGCACAGCAATGGTTCACAAGATTAGTCCCTGGGATGAGAGGATTTTTCTCATGATGAATGGCTGAGTAACTTAGGTCTGCATTCTCTGGAGTTTGGAAGAACGTGAGGTGATTTAATTGAAACGGTCAAGATATTGAGGGGTCTTCATGGAGTAAATATTAATAGGTTGTTTCCTCTGACTGGAAATTTGGAAGATGGAGGCACATTGACACAATGAGGTGGCTAATCATTTAGGATTGAGCTGAAGAAAAATTTCTTAACACAAAAAATTGTGACTCCTTGGAATTCTCTACCCCAGAGGTTTGTGTATATGCTATCATTGAATATATTCAAAGCTAAGATGTACAGATATTTGCTCTCCCAGCGGATCAAAGGATATAGGAACCAGGTAGGAAAATGTCGTTGAAGATCAGCTATGATTATATTGAATAGAAGAGCAGGCTTAAAGGTCTATCTGGTTGACCCCTGCATCTACTTCCTATGTTCTCACTTTGAGGTAGTGGATAGGTTATACAAACACATATTCAATCCAAGCTATGCTGCTATTTGCATGGTGAGTTATTACAATATTAGAATACTGTATCAAAAATGGGGATGGGAAATGAGTACAACTGTGAGCTTCCACCTTAAAGCCTTCTGGGTGCTCTAGGAAAAGAGAAGCTGAGAATCCCTGAGCCAAGAAATCACAGAGGTACAACAAGAGAATTCTCATAAAAAGCTACTCATGTTAATGATCCAATAACTTCATTGTTCATTTTTAGGTAACTCTGTAAAGACTATTACTGAATCATAGAATCCCTACAGTGTGAAAGCAGGCCATTCGACCCATCGAATCAACACTAACCCTCCAAAGAGCATCCCACCCTGACGTAGGTTTGGGCAACCCAGGAAGAGTCTAAGAGGCTGTGAATAGGTGGAAAACCTGCCTTAGACCTTTATTGCTGTGGTCAAAGTTTGAAAGTACAGATAAAAACATAAAACATCCCTTCTGCTTACTCCCCCTCACCCCCTCTACATGCCTCATTCTAGCCACCCCATGTACCAATTGTCCCGATTACGCTTTGGAACCCCAATGTCAACTCATACCCAGTAGCAATTGCCATTTGGTCTCCCACTCAATGTCAATTTACCTAGTAACCATCACGGGCAAAGAGGGTGATTATGTCGCTATTGGAAACAAAATCAGTCTCAATGATAATAAAAAAAATTGAGATCCTTTTGACCAATCCCTTATAAAAACAAAGATGTAACTAAAATGCTTAGCTCCTTACACAAAGTAATGTGTCTATTTAATAAGCAATTGGAGATGACCAACAAAATACTCACATGATAGATACCAAATTGTGAAGATGATAGTTTGGGAAATCAGTCATGCAGCTTATGTAAATGGGCACTTTGAAATGCCTGGCACTAAGTGTCCATTAATCTCCACACTTTTCTTTTTGAAAGTTGTGAGCCAGCTTTGGCAACCTCAGAGGATTTATGCACCTCTTAAGGACAAATATGCCTTCTCTCAATCTCAAAGGGTCCCTTACTTCCAATACAGTGTAACCTACCTCTCCCAAAGAGTGCCTTGCCTTCACCAATGGTGTGCCAGGAGCAGAGCCAAAAGAATGTCTTACTTCTCCACGAAGGGAAAAATATAAAATGTTCCTCCAGCCATCTACCTTTACACACCCCACACTCCATCTCGCAGCCACTCACATCCACACATCGCCAATACCCCATGCATGCCAACTCATTTAACTAAATGCTCTCCACTGATCCCCAGGGGCCCTCACATCCTCATGCCACCCTAGTCACTTCTACATATTGCCATGGTACTCCTGTGCGAACTTATTTACCACCATTTCTTTGTTCCCCTACAGCATCAACTGATCGAAAAATAGGAGCTAGAGTAGGGCATTCAGTCTTTCAAACCTGCTCTGCCATTCAATGGATTATGGCTGATCATCCTTTGATTGTTAGTGCCCTGTTCCTGCTTTCTTCCATAGCCTTTGATTCCTTCAGCTCTAAGAATTAGGTCTAATTCCTTTTTGAAATCCCTGAGTAATCTCAAGGGTTCATCCACTTTGGAGAGAAAAATATAGTGTTATTATTTAAAGCTTGATAGACCCCTGTCTATTGAGAAAGAACTCTTACTCATAAAACACATTTTGACACTTGATGACAGTCCTTGACAGTTTAAAACTTGTAGACAAATCTGGATACTTCTTGACAGTCCTTAACCAGGAATTGACCCATTAGAGAGTTTCAAAGCATTTATGTAAACTTAATAAAAATATTCTCCACTGTTATAAGTCCCAAAGAGCATCTGCAAATTCCTCAAAAGATTAACGATCCTCATCACCAAAGGCTTCCTGTCATCTCCTCTCCCAAAGGATGTCCTGGGACAATATCCACAAGGTAACCTTACTTCTCCAAAAGGGTACGCTGGCTATCCAAAAGAACTATATTGAAAACCAACCTGCTCTTACCTGGTATCATCTCCATACTCTGAGTTCCAGGCATCAGGGACTCAAAGATCTGAATTTAGTGGCGGCATCGGAAATGTGAGATGCTGGGTCTAGGTTCAGAATGTGGCATCCCCGTCTCCTTTCAGCATTTTCGTCATGACAGAGATTCCTTTCATCCTGGTGAAAATCAGGGCCCATGCCAACATTCAAGATTAGACAGAATTTGTGAATGAAAAGAAAGAGATCAAAGGGTTAAGGGAACAGGGAGTAACAGTAATCGCGATGTTTTGCTCACATGGCGGACAAAGGACTAGCATGCGGACTTGTTATATTGAATAGCCCGTTTCTATGTTCTTACTTTTTGTAAGCACAGTTTCAGGAATGAGGTAACGGCTGTCCTATTTAATTGCAGAACATTAGTTTGAAATTAGTTAATGTCACCTCCAACAATAAACTCAGAAAATTAAAACTTGTGCAATATTAAGTTTTTGAAAGAGATATGCAAAACAGTTGCAAAATTAACTTTAATAACCGGTTTGATTTTGAGCATATTGCTCTGAAGAATGCAATGTTTCCTCTGTACTCTAGCATGTACTCTAGCAAAGCAGACATTCGCAAGAGAATTCAGACCATCAACAATTACATCTAGCAAGATTTGATACAAACTGGCACTTTTTATTAAGTCTGTTTATTAATAAGAAAAATAATTTTAAAATCAGCAAATTCTTCCATGTACATATTGACAAAAGATATTTTTAACTTTGCATATGAATAGCTAATGGGTGGTAATAGATCATTAGTGCATCATTATACTCATTTCTTGTATTATGTAGTTTTCACACCCCAATACACCAAAATCTTAAGATTCTTTCTCATTTTAAATTATTATGCCTGAAGAGAGATGATTTATTTCTCAAAACAAATTCTTATTGAATTTGTTTATGGAGAAGGGACCATTACAATTAGGGGGTTGTTTACTTTATTTGGCTGGACGGCTGGCTTACAATGTAGAGTAATGACAACAGTGCGATCTGAATTCCAACACTGGCTGAGGTTACCATCAAAGAGTCTCATTGTCAACCTCTCTCCTCAACTGAGGCTTGGTGACCCTCAGGTTAGACCACCACTAGTTACCGCTGTCTAATGACAGAGCAGTCCCATAATCTTGTAAGACTATGCAGCTTTAGCTTTTTACCAGTACAATATACATTACTTGACGTTGCTAATTCAAGACAATTATTACAGACTGCAATTGGTGTTACTAGTATTGATATGCCTAGCTCCATTATGGATGAATTAACTTTAAATAATATTTGTTTTTGTTTTGATCTATTGCATTTAACAGGACTCTATACTTAATAACAATAATAAGGTCTATCATACAAATGGTTCCTGTAAGACTAACTTAGACTTAAGATGTGAATCTTTGAATATGTATATATAATTCCAACCAGTATCACTTCTCATTTCTCAGCTGCTACCATAAATCAGCTTAGTTAACTATCCTTCAGGAGCCAAAGCACTGTGGCACCTTGTGTGTCTCTATTTAGATTACAAAGAACATGTTTAATACCATTTTGATATCTTAAGGCATGTCAGCCTATATGTTTTGTAATTTATAGTGGTAGCTCATAGTGTTTCTCTTGATGTTTCATGTCATTTTTTTCTTGTATTAGTTAAAACACATGTGCTTTTGTTCTGTGTTCCTTTTATTTTCCGTTCTGATGACCACTAACACTGTCGAAAAAGTTCTTTCAATAAGGGCACCTGTTGTTAGCTAAACTGAGATGTGAGTGCTTTTGTACTGAGCAATGGTCATGACATTCTTGCTTATAATTGTGGACATTAGTAATCATGGAACGTGGTGCCCATTATTGAAAGTTGTTCTGTATTTTCACTAATACAGAGAATGACAGTTAAGAAATGAGCCTGATTGCATGGTTCATTTGTTCTCCTTTGTAGAGCCAAGCCGGGGCACACTACAAAGGCACTAAACATGCCAAGAAGCTCAAAGCACTGGAGGCCATGAAAAATAAGCAGAAAACTGTTACTACCAAGGACAGCGTAAAGACCACCTTCACTTCCATCACAACCACCACCATCACTGCCAGCTCTGACAAAGCAGGTTAAGAGATATCTTTGTTCCTTTTCATTTTTGTTCTTGTCTTTAATTGCTTAGGTTTCGAAAAAGAAAAGATATATTTATCTATTTTTATTATAGGTAGTTTCAAAAATTAAATGTTTGTTTGATTCAGTATCTGTTTAAAACTTTTTTATGATTTTTCACTTCCCGATACGTCTCTGATTTTAGTGGGATGTGGAAACTTTCTTTTGATGCCTTTAGTGCTCAGTAATTTAACTGACCCACTTGTACTTAAAACACTTGTGTGAATGTAAATTAGTGGATGGTGTGCCTTGAGCGGACTTATATTTTATAGTCTATATGTGGTGGGCATAAGGTGGTAAGTGCTTGTTCTTTTTTTAAAAAAAATGGTCTGACCAATTGGTAGCAGATTCAAACTTGGAGTCCTAACTACTTTCAATCATGTTGTACTGAAAAACCCTGGGAATTAAAATATGGTGCAGGGCATAATGACCTCAAGGATGTAAATTCTAAAATTCAAAGTTATTTAATAAAATATTAAAGTTTAAAATGCAATACACCTAAGCGAAATATAAAACATTATCTTGATTTTTCTGTCATGAAGTGACAGTGGTACTAATATTTGTGATATTAATATAAACATTTAAAATAAATGGGCAAATTTCCCTGTTGAAACTGTTGCCATAGAAATGCCATAAATATTTAAGTTTTCATGTGCTATAATTGTATCATCAACATAATTTTAAAATTGTAAAAGTCTTGTATTTAAATATATTAACAAAGTCATAATGTAAATTAGAAAGGTAGCATACTGATTTGTGAGTTACATGGTCCCATATACAAAATATAACAGCAATGTGGATAATCAAAGGAGATAGCAACAAATAATAATTGACATTCTAATCCAGGCTGTCTTCATTGAGAGATATCTGGACCACTCAATTTCTTGGCATAAAGGGAAATCATCATTAATTGAGGGCATGCCAGTGACTTCAACTCCTTATTACTTTCAACTTCTGCAGAATATTTTTTCAAGTACAATAGGTTTTGATGATGTAGTGGTAAAAGCCATACCCAGCTTATTGCAGCTGAAAGCAGAAGTGAGCATTAGAAACAAAATGCATTATTTAACACAAAAACAAAAGGCATAATTTAGAGATTTGTAGCAAAATTATTATTTCATTAGAAAATGGTTTTGGTAGAGCAAACTCAAAAAGCACACATGAAGATAAATAGATAAATCTACCACTTTATTTACAATTAAGATATATTGGAGTAGTTTTGAAACCTTGCCCTATTTATGAGTTTTAAAATTTCTAAAATATTGTAAATATTGGTCTAAAATTTGCATGAGAGGAAATGTCCATCGCCATTAATAATTTTCCAAAATCTAGTTGCACATAAGAATTTTTAGTATACAATTGTATATCTAAATACACATTTAAGCTATTATCCTTTAACATTTATGTTCAATTATGAGAAATTAAAATTGATGGACAAATTGAGTGAATATAAAGGATACATTTCTTTGTTTTGTCTTTTTATTTCCCCCTTCTCTTCCATTCATCCTCTGTGTGTTCTTAAGTTGTCATTCTTGCTTATGCTCGATCTGAGATGTAGGTTGATGAATGTAGGTTTCTCGATTGTCATCGTAATTTTAGTCTGGTGCAGCCATTTGAACCCTACAAACATGACAGCATTACAATAATGACAGTCACTAATAGACAGGTTACACATGACCTCATCTAAATTAAATTGTTCCTGATGGATTCTTGCAGACCTCATGCTATAAGCTGAAACTAACATTGCATAATGCACCCTTTCTCTTTCTGAATATTTTGCACCATCTGATCAAAGTATTGCAGATCTGGATATATAATAATAGAATGCCAAGCATTTCATCCCAATCATACTGTCTTGTCTGCTGTTTTTGCTTTTCCTCCTTACAACAAAAAGCACAAGGACTGACAAAATGTTTTTAATAATAAACAATTGAATAAAAGTTGGTACTAAATTTAAGACTGTCAATCCAGCTTGGAATTCTGCTAATTTGTGCTTAGAATTCAAATTCCTCTCAATGTTTCTCAGCATCATGCATCCCCCCTCTATCCTTTAAATAAAGCATTTTTTTTCACTTCACCATCATGACCTTTGGGACATACCTTATTTCCCTGGCTTCTTCTTTCCAATCTGTCTGGTCAAGTACAAATCAAATACACATAACAAGCCTCATTAAATGTAAAATATGCTAATGTGCAATTATTTCCATTACCATATATTGATAAATAACCACTTCAAAATTAACAGTATAAATAACTATTAGTACTGAGGGATATTTTCATTTTCATCACAATTAATACCATCATTACAAGCTTGGACAAAGCAGCTTAAAAGGTATCTACTTCATGTATATATGTATATATACACATGTCAGGTCATTAAAAATATAAACGGGGAAGCATGTAAGTATATAAATGTAATCTTTTGTTTCTTAATAATATTTCTTAAATTCTGATACCCTGAGCGTGTTTTTTGCAACTTTCTTGCTCCTAGTCTTTGCTGTTGCCTATATGACAGTAATTTCAATTAAGGAGAAATGTTTCGCATTGAATCAGTATAAGTATACTTTAAGATATTAGAATAACAAACTTTTTTGCTTCATATCACTTCTTAAAAAGGATGCTTTCCTTTTGTTTCGCTTTCCATTGTAGCCTTCATCATACCTTCATCCTTTGCAACTTTGTGAAACGAGATGATTTCTAACATTCCTATTGCTCTGTGGCTTGTTTTTCTTGGCACCATTTACATTTTTTAAATCGTTTTCAAACACTACTGACAATTTAGCCTTAACGTTTCCAGCTAGCACCCCATCTCAGTCAAATCAAGAAGCATTTCACTTTTTTCTCCAAGAATTATCTCTGATTTATATAATTAGACAGTGGGTACAGATATCTGGTCATCAAGGATTTGTTTTATGCTTTGTGCAACTACCTACATGGGGTTCTGCTATGATGTGCTAGTTGCATTCTAGCACAACATTGCATTATAGAAAATTGCGCTATAGAGATAATGGGGCCTCTGGAAAAAGCGGAGTTAGCAGCAAAAAGGACATATAACAATTATATTTTCCAAAATTCTTCCTCACCTGTGTAGCTTCATTCTTATAGCTGCAATTATAATGACAGTTTATCAGACAGGTGATCCTGCAAGGAAGCAATACATTTACGAATCTGACCTCGTATTTGTAATGAAGTGACAGCTGGGCTTTAAATAGAGTTCTACCACTGGAAATCCCAGCAATGGTCAGTACTGCATGATAGTGCGAGCTTGATCCAAAAGAGGTGAGCAATGCAAAATTGTGTGAGATAAACCGCACAACCAGCAATCCTCCATGAAACTCCCCCAAAGTTGACACGTCAGCAACTTTTAATTAAACTCCCCCCTCCATTTAAATGCTAATCTGACCTGACATTCCAACAGCACAGACTTCTGGATAGATTTTCAGATAAGTAGAGGAATCTGACCTTTCTTTTCTTTGTAGCCCATTGGCATTGAAGATAATTTTAGGATTAAAATGCTTTGTAAATCTGAGTGACATTGTATTCAAAATAGAGCTGGAAAAGAGCAGCTTGTAACACAGACAGCTTTTTATATAAATGATTTACATGAGCAAGTTCAAAAATTCTTACATATTAAATATGTAACAAAATCTAGGCAAAAATACTACACATGAAGGTGTATGTTTTAACAGCACTCATATTATTTTAAACTATACTTCATTTGTTACTTATACTATCAATTTAGCATTGGAGTCCGTTCTTCTATTTAAATGAGCTGCATTTTAAAATAATGCGGATACATTTAATGTCTTCACATAAATTCTCCAAACTAAGACTTCACATATTTTCGTAATAAGATGGTTGTTTTCTGTGTGATATTACATTTGAGGTTTATGACATACAATCCATGCTCAACGGAATTGCATTATAGCCAACACAAGTTCATGTTTTACAAATAGCGCTCCCTTATTTGTTAATCGTGTTATAGCCAATTTGCATTGCCAGAGCACACATTACAGGAGAGCCCCCTGTATTAGTTTGGCTTTGGCATTCACTCGGGTCATTCTAGCTTTGAGCGATGTTGGTGCTACACAAGTGCCAGATAATGACCATATCCAACAAAAGAGAACGTAATCATTGCCCCTTTACATTCAGTGGCATTGCCGTCACTGAATCTCCAAATATCAAGATTCTGGATTTACTACTCTGCTGGAACTAAAGTGGACCAGCCATGTTAATGTTCTTGCTGTAAGAGCAGGGCAGAGGCTTGGAATTCTGTGGCATGTTACTCACCACCTGACTCTCCAAAGCCTACCCACTATCTACAAGATACAAGTTAATAATGTAATGGCAACTCTCCAGTTGCCAGGTTGAGTGAATCCCAAGAACACTCAAGAAGTTTGACACCATCCAGAACAATACACTTGCCTGGTACTTATCCACCACTTTAAACATTCAGATCCACCACACCAACATGCAGTGCCAGTAGTGTGAACAATACCAGCTGCAAGCTTTTCTCCTGACTATACAACATCCTGATTGTGGAACTATATTCGTTTTCAATCACTATTGCCGGATCAAAACATTGATACTTCCTTTTCTAACAGACTGGGTATATGTACATCAGTGGACTGCAGTGGTTGCAGAGGCAGTTTGCCATCGTTTCTGAAGGGTAATTAGGGATGGACAATAAATGCTAGTTGGCATATCCAAATACCATGTTCAAAAATTTAAAAAGGACAGCTTTATCAAGCCTGTGTATGTCGCATAAGGATGACCTAGACATGAAACTATATGCTTCTAATGAATAGAAGCTCTGCAGGTAACAAAATAATTTCAGTTTTATTATTTGACAAATTAAATGAGGTCCAAATCAAGTTCTGAATGATCAGAAAACAAGGTCCATTGTCATTAACCATCCATGCTTGTCCAGTATAGCTTTTCATTGCAGTTAGATGATTA